CCTCCCTCCCTCCCCAAGGTTTTGACGGGATCCAGGCTTCCAGCCCGTCTGCTCATACATTCGTGCTCTTAGCTGCTACCACCCAAAACCTAGTACGGAGAGTTCGTTACCTGTAATCTGTATCTGTACTGCTAGCAGTGACCCGAAGCATGTGCTGGGCTTGGAGTTTACTGTCGTAATCTTATAAGCAAGGATTCAGTGCCTACTACGTATCGCTGCTGCCATTAGCTCGGCAGGCGCATCTCTGGCTCTGTCGACGAGTACTGATCTCGGTTCAGCAGTCCGTCGGTACAGGCAATACGCTCTCTTATTATTCACGAGTGAGTAGTCTTACCCGTCTCAGAGTCATCAGTCGAGACGCATGCCACACCATCCCGCACTCTGATCTCTTCTTCTCTTCTCTTCTTTCCCTCTCTTTCCCTCTCTCTCCCTCCTCCTTCTTTCTCTGCCAGCATCCATCATCTTCCCGTCATCTTCCCCTTCTCCTCTCTCGCCTCCTCTCGCCTCCTCACCACCCAAAACCCTGGACGGCATCGTGGTGATCAAGTCACAACCGATGTGGCTTTGCTCGTGAAGCGCCCAACCAGCAAGACCCGTACCGTACCGCATCTGCGTCGCACACGCCGCTAGACTGAACAGGGAAGTGGCCAGGTCCGCGACCCAGATGCCAGACCCAGAGCCTAGAGCCTAGAGCCTGCTACCTAACAGGCTACCAGTCTTGAGAGGCTATTCATTCCTGTTGACTCCTATTTTATTCCCTGTAACGGATACGGTCCCTACACTGCTAGGTAAGTACCTGCAGGCTATTATTACCGTCCATCCATGCCTACTGCTACGAGTACAGATACGGTACCTACGGTGCGGGCCAATAGGTACCTCCTGCTCACCAACCCACATCCACCCGGTACAGTTCCATCAATTCAGTGCTGCTGGACCGGCGGGCGCCACCTACAGGCTATTACCCAGTACTGAGATCCGCAGACCGGTACTGGAGATTTAAGGCTCCAGGTACTACCGCTAGTACCATTATTAGGTACAGATTACAGGGTTCCCATCCCAGAGTGTAGAGTACATCTGCTACTACCAGTATAAGTACTGCTACGAGACCACCACAAGTACGGAGTACTCCTAGCAGGATTACTACTAGTATTGACTACCTGTACTGTACTGCAAAGTGCAGGTGCAGTGCGCATTTTGAAAGAAAGGACAAAGAGTACCTCCTTCCTCGCTCCCCCCCCAGCATTCCCATATACTACCATCGCTTTTCTCTCTCCTTCCCTCTCCAGCGAGCGTCTCGTCTCCCCTCCTCCTTCCCATTGTCCACCCGACGATTTCCACACCCTCACACAACCACCACATCTCTCCCTTTATTTTCCACCCCTTTCTCCTCTCTTTCCCTCCCCGCATACCTTCTGTCACGCACATTTATTCGCCGCCTTTTTGAGGGCGCTCGTCCCTCTATCGCAAAGAAGACACAGAACCCTTGGTCGCCCCAAGGTCCTAACCCCAAGGCCCACGGGTCGCATTCGACTATCCACGCCACCATCATCCCTTGCTCAAATAGACTCGTTCCCGGCGCAAGCCTCACAACTGCTTCTTCATCGTCGCGCGCATNCCCCGTCGCGCGCGCGTCGCATTCGACTATCCACGCCACCATCATCCCTTGCTCAAATAGACTCGTTCCCGGCGCAAGCCTCACAACTGCTTCTTCATCGTCGCGCGCATTCGATACCCATCCGCCTTCATCCCGAGATCCCACCCTTCTTCGTGAGACGTAATATTTCGGTCGCGTCAACCGCCCGCTCCAAAACATCCATGGGAACCATGGCCACGCCGGGCTTCCCCCCGCCTACTCAATCGCTGCGGCATCACCCTTCCACCCAGCCCTCGCCCTTCGCATCCATGACCGCCAACGACGGCGACGCCATGCGCTTCATGCCTGCACCCGGCCCCTACACCCACGGCCATGTTCCCAGTCTTCCCGTTCGCGCCCTCATTCGCCGCCTGCCTCTCAACACGACTGATGAGTCACTGCGACTCATGGTCCTCTGGTCCAAAGAGCTCGTCTCCGCTGAGCTCCTGCCCGCCTCCCAGTCCCGCGATGATGGCTACCTCTCTGGCCTTCTCGAGTTCGAAACCTACTCGGGTGCCATCGCCGTCAAGAACATACTCAACGGCACCCCCAACATCCTCCAGAACGCCGACCTGATCGTCGAGGTCCTCGACGACCCTCCGGGCCCTGCCGACAACTACTCTGACGACTTCGGTCCCGAGAGTCCCGGCACCGTGCCCTCCACCATCGGCTCCGGAAGACCCTCGTCCATGAACCCGCCCCTCTCCATGCACGCCATGGCTTCCATGTCCCAGCACGCCGCCATGTTCAGCCCCCAGTCCTCGAACCTCGCCCCGGTGCACTACCAGAGCCCCTATAGCGTCTCCACCCCTATAGGCAGCCACCTCCGCGACCGCACCAGGATATCCGGCAAGTCCCTCATCGAGAACAACCTGACCGATGACGACGAAACGAGCGTCCTCCTCAAGGATCCCGTCGCCTACGCCGAGAGCAGGCCCTCGACCGGCCGACGCGCCACCGCGCCCCAGATTCCCATCACGCGCATGAGCAACCTGACGCTCAACACCAACACCAGCACCTCGCCAGCCTCCAGTTCGGTCCCCACGCCTTATATGAACCCCCTGTCGGCTCACGCCATGGCATCGGCAGGCGCGCCCGCCATGAACGGTGCCGGTGCCACCGCCGGAGGAGGTGCCGGAGGTGCCGGCGGCGCCGGCGGTGGCGGAGCAGGCGTCGCTGGCCACCGGTATCCTCCCATGGCCAATGTCCACTACCGCCCACACTTCCCCGCCATCAACCCGGCCGATCAGAACCCGCCCTGCAACACGCTCTATGTCGGCAACCTGCCCGTCGGCACGTCCGAGGATGAGCTCAAGATCATGTTCTCTAAGCAGAGGGGCTACAAGCGCCTGTGTTTCCGCACCAAGCACAACGGCCCCATGTGTTTTGTCGAGTTCGAGGACGTCACCTTTGCCACAAAGGCCCTCCACGAGCTCTACGGACACCCTCTCCACAACAGTGTCAAGGGAGGCATCAGGCTGAGCTTCTCCAAGAACCCGCTCGGTGTGCGCTCCCAGCACAACACCAACTCGGGAGCCCACTCGGCCGGTCCTATGGGAGGTGGTGCCATGAACGGCAACGCCAACGGGTCCATGAACGGGTCCATGAATGCGGGCGGGATGAACGGCATCATGTCCGCCGGTGCCATGAACGGGGCCTCTTCTGCCAACGGCTTCGGCGGCGCCAACAGGCCCCCGCCTGGTCTCGCAGTCCCCCCGGGTCTCGAGCCGAGCCGTCTCGCCTTTAACCTCCCTATGCCCAACGGAAACCAGGGCTTCATGGGATCAGGGGCACCCGCTTGGTAAGACTGCCGTGGCTGATCCCGTGGTTGAACCACTGCGGCAGGACCAGCGTGGTAGGACCGACGCGGTCAGAGATGAAGATGCGAACGAGTGGAAGAAGAGAGGAGAAGCATAGTCGATTTGTTATTCATCTATTTTTTTTTCACGTGGAGTTGGGGGTCATATTGCATCGCAACCTATGCGCGCCGTCATGAACCTGTTTACTTGCATAAGTCGTCGGCGAGCATGGGACGACTTGACATTTGGGAGCACCGGAGCACAGAATCGCGATGTGAGGGCTATGGCTTTTGTTTTTCATTTCTTTGACTTTTTACCCCTTTGCTCTTGCTCTTGCTCGTTCATCTGCTTTTCCTATTTTTTTCTCTATCTCTTCTCTACGACAAGCCCGAGCCTTGGTACACGTGGGAATCATCATGATGGGAAGGCGAATGCTTTTTGTTTGAAACTTTTGTTGTCATGAGGGCTTATGGGTCAAACAAAGCCTGGGAATTATGTTGTTACTTTTTCTTACCTCCCCTTTTCATATTTCTCTCCTTGCATCAGTTCGGCTATCTGTCTTGCCACTACACACCATTATCGGACGCATTTTTATTTTCTTGCTCTCTCTCTTGTCCTCTTCACCCTTTCTATATATTTCTTTGTCTTTCTTAGCTCCTCCCCCCCTACCCCCTTTTTTTTATTTTTCAGAGAACTATATGTTGTTGCTGTTCCGCCCCCCTTGTTCAACCACGAAAGGAGTCTTGTTGGAAATGCTCTTGTTTTTTGAAAGCCCGAGGGCGGGAAAAGGGCAAACGGGATACCACAGCGGGCATCGGCGTTCTTGCTCTGCTTATTTTTCTTTTCTCAACTGTCTCCTTTCTTGCCTTTTTCTATGCCTTTTTGATACCTGCATTCAGCCGGACAACCCCTTGGAGTTTCAACCTCCTCTTTCTTCCCCTACTCTATTTCTTCATAACACGGGTAACAGTGCTATCTCTCGCGAGTCTTCATCTGTCCTTTTCTTCTCTTCTTCTCCCCCTTGTCTCTCCTTTTAATTCTTTTTTTGTCTCTTTCTACTTTTCATTGGTGCGGCTTGGGTTCTTTCATGGTTACACATTACAAGATTTTTTTTTTCTGGCTTTGGGCTTTGGAAACGCATGGGAGAAATGGGCAAAGGAAAACACTGCGAATGGAGCTGCGGATTTTTTTCGAGCGTATTTCTCGACGGTGGACGGTTTGGTCTGCTCGGATTAGGTGTTCTTTTCTTTTCCTCTTTGATATTTTGCTCTCTCTTGTTTTTCTATTCCGGCTACCTACGGCCAAGTTGATAGTCACCTTTTCTTTTGGATTTCAAGATGAAGAACGTTATGGAAATTGATCGGCACGGGTTCACGGATCAGATTGTTCGTCATTGTCTCTTTTCTTTCTCCCCTTCTCGGGTCTATACATGAACTCTTCTTGGTTAAGAGAGAAAACTCGTCTACTAGATTGTTTTTCACACCAGGCGAATGGAGGGTTCCTTTGTTTTTCTCTTGCATTGCAGGGCATAGAATAATAGCACGGGCATTGGATCGCACTTGAGAGTACTAGAGCATGAATGGTGTGATGTTGATGCGATGCGCAATGTAGTGATGTGTGATGCTTGATGTTCACATTGCATTGTCTCTCGTCCACCCCATTGTCATTGTAGCCCATATGTCATGAAAGACGGCTTGTTTGCTGCCACCGTCCTTGCCAGAGGATGAAGTCCCGGAGGCAGAAGCGAACGCATGATGGTCCGACGGCATGGTCGACGGCATGATCGACGGCATGGTCAACAAAGGATCCCACAGTCCCAGGTAAGAATCCAGACTCCCATCGAGCATAGGACACGTCGATGGCACAGCTGCAGGAGCGGCAGCAGCATCCTGCACGTCAGCAGCCTGCACCCTCCTGTCGAATTTCGCCTTGACAACTTTGAGAATGACGCGAGTAGCCGAGAGGACGTTGTCATTTCCATCATGGTCGCCACTGCCAGTCGTCATGGCATGCAAGAACTCGGCTAGGCCCAGCTCCTTCCTGGCCCGGCGATGATCGAAGAAGGGGAAGCAGGATCCGCTGTCGCAAGGGAGGGCTACGGGCGACGGCGGGAGAGACAGACGGAAAGCCATGACTATACCCATGACAACGTAGGCCCAACCGGCGACGGTGAGGCGGGGGAAAGTAGAAGGTGGCAGGGATGATACTTCGGACAGGAGTCTGGACAGCGGGGTGACGCAGGACGAGAGTCGTGGGGGTGTCTGTAATGCCGTGGCAGTCGAGGAGAGGATTGCGCCGCCTTGGATGTAGGATTCCACAAAGAGGGATCCCAGTCTTATGGGGACTTGTAGACGAGGTCAGAACAGAACCGTTGAAGAGCATATGAACGTATCAGAGGGGAGGAGTTGGCAAGAGAGGGGGGGGGGAGGGGGGGGGGAGACGAAAAAGAAGAAGCAAAAATTACAATTGAAACAGAGACAAGACAGAGACAAAAGAAGAGGGAGGAGGAGAAACCAAGGGAGGAACATAAGGGAGAGAAAATGAGTGGGCAGTTATTACCTTCTCCTGCAATATTAACCGGAAGATCACCGTCCAACTCACAAGCCTGCGTCTCCAACCCCATCAGGACGAGATGCCGTGTCTGCTGGTGCTCCGGTCTCCCGTCGTGTATGGCAATGGACGCCTCGACGGCTATACTCGACTGTCGGACCAGGATGGCCAGCACCAGGTCTGTCTCGGTTCCGTTCTTACCACTAGCATCCTCCAGGATGTCGCAGCACGTCATTGTCCACGGTGTGAAGCTGGCTGCTAGGTGCGTGTACTTGCGCCAGCCAGATGTCAGGCTAGACGGGTCAGTGTTTTCCTTATTCTCTCTTTTCCCTCTTCAGAGAAGGGAGGTAAGGTAAGAAGGAGGGAAGGGGGGGGGGGTGGAGGGTCAATATCTTACGCGGCAGAGATATGGCAGTGACCTGTGTAGGCTCTGACCCCATCGAGTTGACGTCTTGTGATTCCCTCGGCCTGAGAGTCTGAAGCGTCTCGGGGGAGTAGTGCTGAGTCCAACTCTAGATCGCGGACTATATCGGCTGCCATACGAATGTAGTGGAATACCTGCCTATTTCTAGGTCGTAGATGGAAAGGGTACCTGTGGTTGTGGTCGACGATGATGTTGTTGTTGTCAGTACTACTAGTACGCATGTACATGCATTATATGATCTCGGGTATATGGGAGGGGAAAGGAAGGATATATTAGAGGAAGAGAGAGAGAGAGAGAGAGAGAGAGTGTGTGTGTGTGTGTGTGTGTGTACGCACCATGCACAATACACCAGGATCCCCTGCAGCAGATCGAGAGACCTCTCACCACCAGCGACGAACTTGAGACCCAGGACTTTGCGGTACTCGGCATCATACAGGTCATGACCCCTCAGGGACCTCGAACCAGACGTCGTAGCTAGGATGGCAAGCAGGACAAAGGGTCTCGCGGCCGCGAGATGCTTGACCCCCTCGTCCGCCCCCAGCACAATGCACGGGAAGTGTACGAGCATGGATCTGAAATCGCAGAGGAGCGACTCCGCCGACGCCAGGTTGAACTGCGGTTTCCCATCCAGACTCACCATGTCTACTGATGCCGGCGGTGGCCGCGATGCCGGCCCAGAGGATGACGGTGACGACGACGCCGGCGGCGACACGAGACTGCTGCCGCTGTTCCAGGAGTCAACACCTTGCCGCTCGTCGTCCTCGGGCGGGAGCACGCTGTCGATGGCCTGCTCGTGAATCCGGCAGAGCGTGCCGAGGCTGTCGTCTGGCTCGTCCGATGCCGGCATGGCAAAGTCGATGCTGAAGGTGGCTGTCCGCGAGGGGGCGGCACTTGGCGGGCGGGCGGTATCAAGGCTTTTATTTCCGTTGTCAGTCCAGGTCGACAACCGCATTCTGATGTCCCGGGTACGGCATCATCAGGATGGGGGAGAGTGTGTGATCTCACATCTTTTGTTTTCGTGATCGCCGTGTCCGCGGGCCAGTCCGAGATACACACTCCTTTTTGGACTCGAGACATCTTTGCAGACTATTAGCAGAAACCCGGCTCTCTCCTTCTCTCTTCTCTTCCTTTTTTTCCAAAGAGAAAAGAAAAGAAAAGAAAAGAACCCCATGGGGGAACTGAGGATGCTTGTTTTCATCTTTACCTTGAACATACACCTGGCTGCTCACTCAACTGACAACGCATCTTGGACACCCTACACGCCTCGCAGGCCGTCTGGTTGCGACGACGGGGCTGTTCAGTATGAGCTTCCATCGTCCACCTGCTTTCCTGTGAAGCGTTTTGCATATGATGAAAGAGATTGAATATATTGTTCGAGGGAAACAGGAGGGGTAAGAAAGAGGCGTTGATGGGGAAGGGGATGATTGAATTAAACCGGTGCTGAGTGAGATTGAGACGCGGACCAAGATCAGACCGAATATGCCGGTGACGGTCGGATGTAATCAGGATTAACGTCTAGTCTAGGTATATATATAATAAATATATGCATGTGTTGTTCTGTATTCGCATTACGACAATCAGATGCTCTAATAGTATCGTTTTTGAAAACAAATACAAAAGACAGAAGTTTACAGAGATGTTGTATAGTATTTTTTTATATTCATTTATTATTGGTACTTCTTTCTGATAAAAAAAAGCAATCGTGATGTAGGATATAATCCCTCTCCTTACGCCAGATATAACATTGAAACAGACAAGACACAACACGTCAGGAAAACTGCAATCCCGTCTTATCCTGGGTAAGGATAATGCTGGCCAGCCTCCCCAACGGTGAGACAAGAGTCTGTATCTCCGAGACGGGCGTATCTATCTCGCCATGCTGGCTGTGTCGGTGGGATGTGAAATTACGCTCGGCGCAGCGCCGCGAGCAGAATACGGCCATCCGCTTCTGGTCTAGACATTCGTTACAAGCCACGGGATCGGCAGAGTCGTCTTGCTGGTCGTCGCCGTCATCTCTCATGACGACATCTTCATCTACAACCATCTGCGCACAGTCTGATGAACCGATGCAGTCGTGGGTCTGAGCCATGTGTGTATCCTGGAAGGTAGCGACAGTTAGTACATCGTATCACTTGTAGTACCCGTCCACGTCTTTTCTCCTCCTTCTTCTTCTTCTTCCTTTTTTTCGAGAACGAAAAATACGTAAGAGTCCGGAAAGTGCGGGCAGAAGAAGAATAAGGGAAGAGAAAGAGGGGAGAAGGGGATGGTAAGGAGACCTACGAATCCCTTTCCGAGACATCCATCAGAACAGTAGACTGTCAGTTTCCTGCTCCCACCTATATGCAGGACCATCTGGCACAGCGGGCAGGCAACAACCCTTTCCGGATCGACGGGCTTATCGCACACGTCACAGTTGGGGAGGCTGCGGTAGGCATGGTCGACGACATCCTCCTTCTGCTGGGGGCCCCTGCTGCGGACCCTGTTCTGCTCAAAGGCGGTGCGTGCGCGTCGTAGCTCGTCGAGGCGCTTCTGGTGCGCGTCCCTCTGGGCCTGCGAGCTGCGGTCCTCCCTGTTGGCCGCGATGATCCTGTCGACGACGGCCTCGATGGTGATGTCGACCCCGCCGACCGACCCGGACTCGAACATGTCGAGGTAGGGCTGGGCGTTGTCGATGACGACGACGGCGCCGTCCTCCTCCTCGCGGTGGAAGAACTCACGGGCGTACAGCTCCCTGACGGCGATGGGGTCCCCGCTGGCCTCGGCGACCTTGGCGGCGAAGGTGTCGACGCGCTCCAGCCAGCCGGTCGACATGCCGACCGCCTGACCCACCACGGCCACCAGCTCCTCGCGTGACCGGTCCGGGTCGTCTAGGATGCTGCGGACCTCGTCGCGGCCCACACCGGACCCGGCCACGGCCAGGAACTCCGGGTGCCGACGCAGCACCCACCGGTACCACGCCTCCTTCTCGCACTCCAGGCTCGCCTCGATCTCGTCCAGCCCCATCTTGCGCTCCTTGGCCTCGGCGAACATGGTCTCCAAGCTGAAGACGACCGCACGCCGCTCCGAAAACCACTCCCTGTCCTGGCTGTCGCGGTACCGCCCTAGCATCCTGTCCAGCACCTCCCCGAAATAGGCCGGGCTGCTACCCCCGTCGACGCCCCCGCCTGCGCTGCTCTGCGATTCCGCATCCTGCTTCGCTGCCGCAGCTGCGTCCCGCAGGTACTTGGCCTTGAGAGCACGGATGTCCGCGGCGCAGGCCTCTCTGTTCTTGCGAGACGCGTTCAGCTCCGTCCAGTGTTCGGGGAGCGCAAGATCTGTGGCCGCCATTGTCCGATGATGAGTGCGCTCGGCTTCCTATTCCCCTGCACTGCTCATTCAACCGACAGCGGGCATGAGCCGAAAAGATGGGGACTCAGGTCGTGGGTTTATCTAGGAAAAGATATGTCGCGAGAGAACTGCCCGCAATGATGCCGTTTTCCCTCAACTAAGATGATGCCAACACATGTGTAATTAAGAAGATTAATGGAATAAAATATTTGTCATGCCGCGTAAAAGTTGGTTGCACGAGCATCAACGCCGTAGACTTCTTTCTCTCTCATTCCCGCCTTTGTCTCTCTCTTACCGGCGGAAAGCGTCGCCCGAGAGTCTACCGGTACGTACATTATCGCCGATCGACCCCATACACCCGAAGATTTCCCGTTCGCACCAACCACCACAACCAAGCATTCTTCCGTCCCAATCATCATCATCATCGCCACCTTCAAAACTCCAAGCAATCATGGTATGTTTTCGCATCCCCTCCCCCGCTATCTGACTCCTGTTTTGAACTCTCCCTGACACCCCCAAAAGGCCGACAAGCTTCGCAACCAGCAGGAGCTCGAACGCCTCCAGGCCAAATACATCGGCACCGGCCACCCCGACACGACGAGCTGGGAGTGGCGTACAAACATCCAGCGCGACACGTACTCGTCCATTGCTGGCCACCGACCGCTCCTGTCATACATTGCCCTTGCCGAGAACGAGCCCATCTCCAAGGTGCGCGCGCACATGCTACGGGTACGTTTGGCCTCTCCCCTTCCCCCCTCCCCCAAACCCGAAATCTGAATTCCAGCAAGACTAACATGCGCGCAGAAAATGATCCAGCCATGTGGTCCGCCGCCACCGAGAGAAGACGAAGAGATCGTTCCGCAAAAGTCGGCGAGGTAGAATCTTGGCCTATACACACGACGTTAGGCTAGTTAGCTTTGTTTTGGCGAATTTGTTTTCCTTCTTTTTTTTTCCTCTCAGGGAGATAGATATATACCCAGGCACACACGCACACAGCAAACACGCACACACGAAAAAAAAACAGGCATATTTACATACATGATTGAATTCCTGTCATGTTCAGTCGCCTACCGTTGTAGAGCCGTTACCGGTCTCATTGGCTGCATCATTGCCATCGCTCCCTCCAGCAGCCGTCCTGATGCCCAGACTCGCACGCAGTTTCTTCTCCAGCTCTGGCGAGGTCCCGCCAAAAACTTCTTCGACCATGCCAATGACGCCGTCGAGCCCGATCTCCTCCTTAGCCCTCGACCCGACGTGCCAGGTGGTGTTGTGGTCGCCGTCCTGGCCGCCACCGCCTGCCGCCTGCCGGTCCACCCTCCTAACCACGTAGCCCTGCCGTTCCATCCTTTTGAGTATGGCCTCGGTCTTTTCGCTCGAGACGTTGTGGTCTGCGTTGAGCCGCACCAGGTACCGCCGCAGCTTCTGCTCGCTCAGCTCCCCACCGTTGAGCCATATGCACGACACGACGAGCGTGTAAAAGGCTACGTAGGTCGACTCGTCGTCGTGGCTGGGCGCCCGAGAGGGAGGGATGATGGCTGCGCTACGTAGCGAGGCAGGCAGTGTCGAGCAGAGGATGTATGATCCTGTGCCTGTCTTGGGCTGCGTGTTCGAGCTCATAGCTATTCTTTGGTCAGGGATCAGGGTGAAGAGAAAAAGGAAGCCTGTCGGGTCCAGAAATCGCGTACCTTTACGCTTCTCGTGCAATGTCACCTTCTCTCTTGCTGGTAGCTCGCGAAGCTCCATGCCCCAGACGAGCCGGAGCTGCTTCTGCGCCAGCGTGAATACCCTCCTAAACGACCGGCCATGGCTCCCGAGAACTGGAGGGAAGCCCGTATATCAGCAGGACACCTAGGAAAGGGAGCGAAATAGTATGTTGTCGATTCTCACCCTTCTCCCTAATCCCATCTCTCCGTATCGTTGCACGCGAGTACTCGCACGATAGAGCGTAGCGAACTAGCTTCTTGGCCATCTGTTCGTCGGCAGACCGTGTTGCCTCCCCGCCGGCGTCCGGATCATCACCACCTGATTCGGAATCACCAGCGTCATCTGACTCGTCATGGTGGCGACGCTGCCGAGGTCGCGTATCTTCTTCGTCGTCCGCCTCGTCCCTCTACCATATAAAGGTCAGCAGTTATTCTCCGTTGAAACGTGAGTGAGTGGCTACCAACCATACGCCGCCGTCCGGACATGTTGTGTGAAGTATCCAGAGATACGGATGTGACTGCCTATCTTTTTTTTTCGTATTATCTCAATGTGAGATCGATCTAAAATAGAATAAAAAGACGCTGTTGAGTAGACCAAGATGTAGCAAACCGTACAAACGCGTTCACATAACGTGTCAGACTAAATGCGACGCTTATCGATACGGCCTCGATCAGCCCCCTAGCGCAGAATTTACCAGGATCCAACTCTCGAGATCCAAGAAGATCGCTTCACTGGACCACATTCTTTTCTTCACTTACTTATTACATATCTCGCCGCATCTTCCGCCGTACGTCCGGAACAACGTCACCTCATGCTCTCCAGGGCGGTGTGTGCGCCGCGCGTGTGCTTGTCAAGCCGACTTGGCCTCGTCGCATCGTCCAGGTCGGCGGCGGCAGGAGCAGCAGCGCGCCGGCAGCTACCACGACTCCAGTCTACCAGCCTTGCCCTACGAGCGTACTCGTCGAATTCGTTAGGTGTGGCGCAAAAGAAGAGGGTGGAAGCTCTCATTTCCGGAAATGAACCCCTCGACTCATCACGCAGGAGACGCCGTAAGTCCCCGCGACGACGTCACGACGATGACGGCCCGGAATGGGAGCTACTCCAGCCGGAGACGGCGACCGTCGACGCAGTAACTACCGATCAACACCATGCCAGTGCACAGACGAGTCAAAGTGCCACTGTGAAGGGAACTGAAGCTGCCGAATACGATCCCGTCGAGGGCACCGAGCCGCTACCTCCAATCGAGGAACCTCCCGCGCCGACGCAACCTGGCTCCCCCGACCAGCGACGCTCCGTGAACCACTTCAGAGACAGGCTCTTCGACCTGCAGCGCGTCAATGCCGAAGCGCTCGGCAGGCCGATCGACACCCTGGTGATAAGGGACCCGGACATGCTACGCAGGAAAGGCGGCGGCAGGAAGATGGTAATTCCCACCGACAGCACGGATCAACTAGACTGGCGGAGTCTCTTGGAGCCCGCGACGCCAGCCGAGGTGGACGCTGTGGCCGAGGCCCTGGCCAACATTGAGGAGCTGCGCCCCATTGACCTGACCATCCCGAGGCGCCAGCTGAACGACCTCATCGACAGCCTCAGCGAGGGCTTCACAAAGGACCAGCTGTCCATGTACCACGGCCAGGCGGATGACCCGAAGACATCGCCATCGTCCCATCAGATTCCCAAATACGACTGGCTGGCGGGATGCTCGAGTTGGAAGTCTGCCAGCCAGGAGTCTGTGGGCGCCGAGTCGCCCAAGAAGCGCCTCGCACGCGCTATTGTGACGTCCAAGTGGAATATCCAGGCGCAAGAGGAGGTCGGGGGACTGGGTTTGACGGAGATACATGTCAATTCCCGAGTGTACGGGATGCTCACAAGTGAGTTCTTTCATCAAGGCTGATTGCATACTACCCTTCTTATTGCTATTTGAATAACAGTGCTTAAAAGGTCAATAATAACAATATTACAATGCAGGCCCGTCAATCGGTGCCTCCGCAGCCCTGACCCTTCGGCATCTCAGCCCGTCAATCGGCGAAGCCATCACCCCCTACGCCCATGGCCCTCACAGTGGAACCGTCCACCTGCACACGCGCAAGAGCATCGTCCCCGGAATCCTGTCCTTCATCGACGAACTTTCGCAGCGCATGGTCACAAAGGACATCCCGCTGGACGACCTGAGCGACCAATCCGATTTTCGGCCCGAGTTCTGGGAAGGCCTGTCGAGGCGCACGGGGACCTTGATCGAGTACCAGAGAGGCCTAAAGGTAAATACTGACTATTGACTCCTCCCTTCGGTCGTATCTGGAACAAGAAGGCACAATGGAGAGGACAGCAGCGTTGCTAAGAAAGAATGAAAATCATCAGATAATCCGCCTCTCATGGTTCCCCACACGCGCTCGACGTGACGAAACCAGCAGCGACGACCTGTCAATCGAAGACACTCCGGACATCGTGATGCGTCTCCTTCGCGGCCGTCCATCGCAGAACCTCGAGGTGAAGGAGCAGATTACCACAAGGCGTCTCAAGAGCAAGGCCAAGATCATCAAAGCGGGCAGACTCGTGCCACACTATCGCGAGAGCAGAGGCATGTCGTGGCGCGACAAGCTGCACCAGTGGTCTCGCTTCGTCCTCCCTGCCAGCGTGCCAGGCGAGCTCAAGGCTAAACACCTCAAGTTCCCCAGCAACGTAGAGATCTCGTGGCCCTCGGAAGCCGGAGCCAGAGCCGTCGTTGATACAGTTGGTGTCGCCGGCACGAGAAGCAGCGTGAGAGCGGGAGAAGGAGACCGGATCACAGCCACGTTCGGCCACATACTCCACCACAAGACCATCCCCATTACGGACGCTGCGGCCGAGTCACGCCGCCGCATCATGTCTCCCGTCGTACCTCACCCGGCCTCCTTCACCGACTTCCTCCCAGAGTACGAGTCGGATCTCAAGAAGCAGCTCTCCATTGTTCTCGATTTCGTGCCCGCGCCCAACTCCAGCAAGGGGGGGCCACTGCCCGAGGTAAGGCTCACGCTACCCATCGTCAACGACGCAGACTACGACCGCGCCAGCCTCACGGATCGCTCCTCCCTCCGAGCCGTACAGCCCATCTTCACTACGGACTTGCTCGTCCCCGACGAGGTGGTGGACGTACGCATCCATCGCCAGCGCGAGATCCCGCTCGACCTGTCGCTCCAGGACAGCCTGCGCGCCTTCATCGACGCCTCGGAGCTGGTCATGGCGGATGGCCGTCTCAAGACCCCCAGCCGCACCATGCTCGTCCTCCCGATTCATCTCTTTCCAGTAACCCCCGAGGGCGAGGACGTCTCTGACAACAACAACAACAACAACACCAACAACACCAACACCAATAGTGCATCTTACCTTTTCGCCGGCCTCAACGTCCACGAGACCGTCGAATTGGCATGGAAGGGCTGCACCCTCCGCTACGACAGCATCGAGGCGGACCGCCATGACGGAACGCATCAGCAGCTCTCTCTCGAGTGCGACGGCACCCAGGACAGGGCCCACTTCCTCAAACTTCTCGAGTTGGCCGTCGAGGGCAAGTACTGGTCCTGGAACAAGGGTGTTTCCCAGGTTCGTGAGCTACCAGAGGACGTTTCCGAAGGAGAACTCCGAAAGCAGACTCTCCAAGAGGACGACGCTGTCTACGGGGAAGAAGGAGACGATTCCATCGCCGGGGAAGAAGAGCATGGTGACGTCCATCACTACCACCTGTACGACGCCAACACGGCACCAGAGCAAATCGATCCCACCGTCGAGGAGACGGTCCAAGGGGACGACGCCCATCCGGCGGTTGACGACGAATGTCGTGACGTCCTTGGAGCGGGGGACCGTCTCGCACTGAGCGTGGAGGATCAACTTCAGGTACTACTGAGAGACAAGTCCGGTGAGGATCGTGAGTCTCTACAAGGAGGCGGAGAAGATGAGTCGTAAATCGGGAAGATGAGGGGGGCACAGAGAGGAGAACATCAGGTGAAGATAAGCTTGGACTCGGATGATCAGGAAACGTCCAGACGTGTGTAACATTAGAGAATTTCGGAGCATCACTGTAGACGTATACTGTATACTACTAGGCAATATCATGCACACATACTACACGGGGATGTTTGTTTCAACCATCACACAGGATGCAATCATTACATCCACTGGTCATTACAAGCATGGTTCAAGTGTCATGAGAAACATCACGTTTTTAACATTGCTAGATAAATCACACAATGCCTCACCTTTTTACTCGTGGTATACATGGTGTACAACCAGCCCATGGTGAAAAGACATACCGACACTCGCGGCAGTAATGGGGTAGGAGAATAGTATTATTTTCAAGCAATTTTTTTCATTTTGAACAAAAGAAAGGGTCGAGTGAGATCACTTCTACTCTAGTCATAATTTTTCCGTTCCAGCCACATTACTAGGCCGGAAAGATAGAATCCCTAACCAGCACAAGCCACAAACAAATGTGAGCGTCTCCTCATCATCGCAAAATCATTCCGTCGTATAACCGAAACATGATCCTCTGGACGCACTCCTGTAAAGAGTGGACACAAGTCGATGAGCGAAATCGCTTATTTCTTGCCAGCCTTGGCGGCGGACTTGGTGACCTATGGAAAGTGGAGTCAGTATGGATGTCGTGTACGTGGAGGGGGGGGGTTCACTTGAGAGGGGTACGAACCTTGGCGGCACCGGCGGCGGCCTTCTCAACGGACTTGATGACACCGACGGCGACGGTCTGGCGCATGTCACGGACGGCGAAGCGGCCCAGAGGAGGGTAGTCGGTGAAAGCCTCAACGCACATGGGCTTGGAGGGAACCATCTTGACGATGGCGGAGTCACCAGACTTGATGAACTTGGGGTTGGACTCAACAGCCTTACCAGTACGGCGGTCAATCTTCTCGATGAGCTCGGCGAACTTGCAGGCAATGTGGGCGGTGTGGCAGTCCAGGACGGGTGCGTAACCGGCGGCGACCTGGCCAGGGTGGTTGATGACAATGACCTGGGCGTTGAAAGAAGCGGCGCCCGTGGCGGGGTCGTTCTTGGAGTCGGAAGCGACGTTACCACGGCGGATATCCTTGACGGAAACGTTCTTCACGTTGAAACCAACGTTGTCACCGGGGAAACCCTCCTGGAGCTGCTCGTGGTGCATCTCGACGGACTTGACCTCAGTGGTGACGTTGGCGGGAGCAAAGGTGACGACCATGCCGGGCTTGAGGGTACCGGTCTCGATACGGCCGACGGGCACTGTGCCAATACCACCGATCTTGTAGACATCCTGGAGGGGAAGACGGAGGGGCTTGTCGTTGGGACGCTTGGGGGGCTCAATGGCGTCAATGGCATCGAGGAGAGACTTGCCAGTGGCCTTGCCACCCTTGCCGACCTCACGCTCCCAACCCTTGAACCAAGGGCTGTTGGGGGAGGGGCCAGTAAGCATGTTGTCGCCGTTGAAACCCGAGATGGGGACGAAGGCAACCTGCTTGGGGTTGTAGCCGACCTTCTTGATGAAGGTGGAGGTCTCCTTGACAATCTCGTTGAAACGGGCCTCGGACCACTGAGCAGTGTCCATCTTGTTGATGGCGACGATGAGCTGACGGACACCGAGGGTGTACGAGAGCAGAGCGTGCTCACGGGTCTGACCATCCTTGGAGATACCGGCCTCGAACTCACCAGTACCGGCGGCAATGATGAGAACGGCGCAGTCGGCCTGGGAAGTACCAGTAATCATGTTCTTGATGAAGTCACGGTGACCGGGGGCATCTGAGAGTCATGGTGTAAGCGGCTCTGCAGGACCAACGAGGGGCGTAGTGATATCGAGATGACCTACCGATGACGGTGACCTGGTACTTGGGGGTCTCGAACTTCCAGAGGGCGATATCGATGGTGATACCACGCTCACGCTCGGCCTTGAGCTTGTCAAGAACCCAGGCATACTTGAAAGAGCCCTTACCGAGCTCGGCGGCTTCCTGTAACGGTTGTCAGTGACTGTGTACATACTTTATTATGCCACCCATAATTCTCCCTTGCGCCCATGCCTGCGCCCGTGCTGGGGAGCTCTCTCATTCCCTGATCACTGGCAGTGCAGACAGGCAGCGGGGTAATGGACCCATGAGCCCCACTTTCCCGATAGCCCAAGAAAATTTTTCTCGGAGGGGCACAGGCCAGCACCTCAAGAACCAGGCAGAGAAGAGAGAGCTCCCGATACATAGGTGAAAAATGGTCAAGATGGCGGGGATAAGAGGGAAAAAAAAATTTAACACTGACCTTCTCGAACTTCTCGATGGTACGCTTGTCGATACCACCGCACTGGTAGATCAGGTGACCAGTCTGTGTGCAGAGTTAGTAACAGTATTCCATCGACTGTTGCCCCGCGCCTAGGAGAGCAGGCGGGGTAACTGCAGGGTTTCTTTTCCTGTGTACTCGGTCGACGTGGTCGTAGAGCAACAAAGAGGGGTAAGACTCACGGTGGTCGACTTGCCGGAATCGACGTGGCTTTCGGCTCGTCAGTACGAACGCTCAGAGTCAAGGCGAAGTTTTTGTTGAAGAGATTTTTACATACCCCTATGGTGATTTGTTAGCAGCAGGCCAGGTCATGAGAGTGAAAGAGGCAGCGGGGTATTGTCAACTTACGATAACGACAATGTTGATGTGAGACTTCTCGTCCTTACTGTAGAGGTTGTCAGCTATGATGACTCGAAGTCATGGAGCGAGAGGCGGAAGAGCACATACCCCATCTTGGCGGTGTTGTTTGGAGGAGATGTGTATTGGTTTTTTAGGGAACTGTGAAAGAGAGTCGAGGTCAGCAAGCTGCGCCACGCAGGTTAAACAACTCGGGAAAAAAAAGAGATGGTGAGGCTGACGTTGATGACAGCGGTGATGACGATGATGAAGATGGAAGTCAAGGAGAAGATAGCGGATGTATGAGAGGACACAGAGGGAGGAAGAACTTACTGCGCAGATTAGATAGCTCGTATCTAGGTGTGCGTGGACGAAGAACCAAGAAGGATTCAAAAGAAAAGAGGGTGGAAGGTGTGGGAGAGGTTTTTAAACGTCAAGGCAGGCGGGAGGTGCTTGGTGGGGGGCAACAAGAGGAGGGGTGAATCTTTTTCATAGTGGGGCTTCCGCTGCAGGGAAAACCCTACAAAGGTGCACAACTTTTTTTGCATCATTTGTATGATTGGCCAGATGATGGGGACTTAGTTTTCGCCCCTCCGATGGTCTTATCGAGTGAAGTGTTTACAGCCGTCTGCCAGCAGGCAGGGAGCCCACCGCACCCCCCAATGAGCAGGAGGGGCAGGAGGGGCAATAGGGATCAGGAAAAAAAAATGAGAGTAAAGTGACGCGTGCCTCATTTCATCCTAGCTTCTGTAGGTCAAGCTACTATCCTCGTGTGTATTTCTTTGTAAAAACAAAAAAAATCTTTTTCTTTTTCTATTCTTTATTCTACTGTAACTATACTGGTAATACTCACGGTCACTCAAAAGATGCTAATATCATGAGAGTTCTCATGATGCGCCTTCGTGATTCATAGTGTCGCCGCCACGGGCATCCAACCTTTTCAGTGGCGGTCGGCGTGGACGTGCCCTATTCATGTTCTGCCCCTCAGTACGGCTGGTAAGCAGCTGCCCGTGATAGGCGGCCAATGCAAACCCCGCTATTATTTCATCCTGCGTACGCGCCGACGAGCAGCTTCACGGCCTAAGCTCTCCCAAGGAGAGCTTCTCCAGATGGAAGAGCGTAGTATCGTATCAATCCAGCCAAAGATAGACCGTTGCTAGATACGGGCCCGGCAGTGCTACTACCAGAAATATATTATGAAATCTCCTCTTGTTACTTGTATATCGATCAAAAATCCCCATTCAGATCCGTTCTATTACTACTCTCTTCTGCTCTCTCGCAAACTTCAGGCGTGTCACAAGCGGGGTTTCATGATGGATCCTGGAACCCGTAAGAAAAAATCAGCATGCTTTTCACCCCTCCAAACCTGGCAAGGGCCGTCACACCTAGACAGGACCTTCCCACCCCACCAAACGAAAATAAAATTTTACCCGCGAACACTCCGTACAGGTATTACTCTCCCAGTAGTAGAACAACCTGGCTGCCCAATATTCCCACCATCCATCCCCTTTCAATATTTGGGCTCCCATCTAAATTAGAGGATCAAAGTGACTCGCTCGCCGTGGGTGCCCCCCCCCCCCCCCTCTCTCTCTCTCTCTCTCTCTCTTGCAACAGAGCATCCCACCATTTCCCCAAAGAGGCCATCCTCACATTCGCCTTCACACAATACTATAGGGAATTTGATAAAAAGACAAGAGCTAGCAAGAAAAGTAAAATTATAAATAAAAAAACCCCCAAAAATTTTTTGGAATAAAACCTTGTCTGTGTATGTGCTAGCACTACTCGTACAGGTACTAATAATGTATTACTCGTACCAATCGTCAGATTCCACTTACTCGCCGTGCCTCGTACGAGAGTACGAGTACATGATCGGCAGCAACTCTCTCTTCTCCAATGCCGGGTCCGGTTGCTTGGCCAGAAGAATACCGCACACTGGAAGGAACCCGGACTAGGAGGGAGAGAGAAGAGGGAAAAATCTCGTAACGTCGTGACCCACCTCACCCGCCTTTTGCGGCAAAGGGTCCTCCTTTCTGCCTACTAAAAAGATGCACTATGATTTTTTTTTCTCGTCTCCTTTTGTTGTCACTCACATCGGCGGTGGTGGCGGGGAGGGGCATCCTCGACCATGGTCCTTGCAACAAACGGCAGCACGTTTCTGGCGACTTAGAGGAGCAGTCATATCATATCTTCTGTTATTGCTACGTAGCATCGTGATCCGCAGATTCCCAGAGTATCTACCGTCAAATCACGACACTGGTGAAGAATATATACACAGGAAACCCCCCTCCTCCGCCATATACTCTTGTACTCGTGTGAGGTTATTACAGGTAATACTGTACATGGGATGATATGGGCGATGTGTGCTCAGACCGCTGCTGCGACCGTTGCCGTGTCTGACTCGGTCGTGTCGACGAATACACGTGTGTGAAATGCATGCATAAATGACTTGAGAACAGCCTTGCTCCCCCGCCTCCTTCTTCGCCCCTCACTGCTTCTTCTTGGCGCTGGCCTCACCCCCTCTGGGCGTCTTGAGCGCAGCCATGGCGACGGCGGTGATGACGGCCATGCCCGTAGCGCCCACGGTGTAAGCATACTCCCTCCCCGCCCACCAGTAGATGCTAGTAAAGAGGATGGGGCCGAGCCCCCGCCCGAGCTGGCCCCAGCTCCGCAGGATGCCCAGCTTTCCTCCACGCTCGTCCTCGGCGGCCTCGAAGCTGCTCAGCGTGTTGAGCCCTGTGACGACCGTCGCCGACGTGATGGCCAAGCACGTGGCTGCGGCGTACAGCCCGCCGACGGTGGAGACGCGGCCGAGCAGGATGAAGGCTGCCAGGCAGGACAGGACCCCGACCCGGACGGACACCAGGGGGGGCAGACGCCTAGTCAGGCCACCCTGGAGGATGGAAGCCACCAGACCAACGAAGCCGAGGAGACGACCGTTGTGGGAAGAGCCGAAGGCGAACAGGTCGTAGGTCATGAAGGACAGGGAAGACTCCATGCCCGAGAAGAAGAGCAGGAAAACGAAATGGGTTGCGTTGAGGAGGAAGTGTGAGTTTGTCCTCTCCACGGCAGGCTTGGTCTCAGACTTGGTGGAGGCGGAGGATCGTTCGGTGGCTGAGGACTTGCCGCTCTTGCCCGTCAGAGCGGGCAGGGTCTCGGGCAGGTAAAGGTAGAGGTAGACCGTCTCGACGACGATGAGGCCTAGACTGAACCCGGCAGCCGTCGCAAACGGGTTAGCGGCCACGGTAGGGATGCTGCTCAGCCAGGCGCCGAGCCCCGGCCCAAATGTGAAGGCGATGGAGAAGCAGGCACCGATTATGGCCATTGTCGATCCACGCGAGGACTCGTCCGAGATGTCGGTCGCCATGGCCGTGGCCAGCTGGACGTTGCCCTCGGACAGACCGCCGACGACGCGGCTAGCTATGAAGGTACGGAAGTCGGTGGCAGCCACCCACAGGAGCACCGAGAGCATGTTGCCACACATGGAAGCCAGAAGGGCAGTTCTCCGGCCATAGCTGTCGGATAGGGCCCCGATCAAAGGCGAGGCAATTGCTTGGAGCAGCCTATGTTGCACACGGCCGTGGTCAGCATCACGCACATGCCGAATAGCACGTCACTCGTAGTCGTTCAAGGATGGAGGGCCGGTCGTCTCACGAAAACAGGGAGCCCAAGGCTCCGCCGAGGAGGACGATGTCATATCGGGCTTCGATCGGCCGCTCAAAGGCCGATTTGTATCTGTGGAGGGCGCCGAGAATGTGCTGGAGGAAGGTGGTCGGCTCGGCGCCGGCGACGGGTGGTGCTTCGCGGTCGCGGTAGAATTCGAGAAGCTTGGGGAAGAGGGGGAGGATGAAGGTGAAGGAGATCTAAACGGTGTCGGTTGCTTGCAGCTTCTCGAAGAGGGTAACGGTCCGAACATACCAAGTCCAAGAGGAGAGAAATAGAGATGACCCGAAGGACCTTGTTCCTCGTGGCGGCGTCGACAGGAGCGGTGACGGCCATGACTGGTGGATGCCACAGATCGAAACAAGAAAGGATATAGGAAGAGAACCAGGGGTTAGAAGAAATAAAAATTACAAAGACGAGGTCGGCGCCGGCGCAGACGAGGGGAGCTAAAAATGGAAACAAAGGTCGGGCGAGGGGAGGAGGGTAAGAAAAACGACGGACGACTGCAAGAAGGAATCAAGAGGACAGACTTGGAGCAATCCATCAGGCCAGAACGACGTCTCGCCGTGGTGCAGCCTCACGTCACCACACCAGGCCAAGGGGGAGTGCAATCACACGAGTACCTTCCCGGAGGTATACATCATCACATACTGGCGACGCATTCGCGTGCGTCCTAGCGTATCGGGTACATACTGATGAGGTACCCTGGCACGGCTGCGCCTCTCCTGAGACACGAGGGGTCCGAGCCGTTCGGCGTGTCGCGGGGTGGAGCCTCCTAGGAGAAGTCGAGGGAGGGTAAGAAAATTCAGATAAAATAAAAATAAAACAGGCCAGGCCCGCCAAAGAGAAGAAGAAAAAGAGACTTGACGGGACGGAGGGGTTCCTGATAATACTATCACGCCGTGCCGCGCTCGTTCCGACTACTGCAATGCAAGACAGAGAGACTGAAGGATGATTACACACATGCATCGTACATGAACACATGGCAGAACCGCCTATCCCGCCAAACGAGGATTTCTTGCCCGGTCTTCTGTCGTCCTCCTTGACTCGGCAGTTCTTCATGTGGTTGGCGATAAAGCGAGGCCGTCTGCGCGGCTGAGAGAGGGGGAGCTGGCCAATTAGCTTGGTGTGTCTCCCCCCCCCCCCCCCCCCCCCCCCCCCCCCCCCCCCACCACCACCCCGCCTCTCTCTCAATGTCTTGAATTGGTGAGGATGGAGAGTGAGAGGGAGCGAGGGAGCGCTTGCTATCCAACCCACGACACCGTGAAAGGTGCCGGATACGGCACCGTCTATCATGTGCCTCCTGGCCTAGCTGAGGAAGGAGTCGATGTGGAAGGGAGGAGGGGAACCAACGTTCCTGCCGTGAATGAGCAACGTTGGCAATTCCTCGGGTCCCGTGGCATTCTACCTTTCCTGGCCTGCTCTTCGAATGAGAACGATTCCAATGGCACCGCCCAGAGCTATTCTGGTTCCATACGACATGACCATGCCCATATACCACATGGCAATACCTCGACCCCTCGTGGTATGATTGTTATACGAGTACGATGGCCCACCTCCGATATGCCAGTCCACGGGGATACCCGCCCTCCATCTCCACCTCGCCGTCCTCTCGGAAACCCCGCTGACGACGTCGACGCACATCGACGTCGCTTGTTGCCAAGGTACACCTGGCTAGTGTCAACTGCCCCGGATTATGGCCATGTCATCCGAAGCTGCTACCAGACCCTAACTCGAGCTAGGTAGGTGAGAGTTTCACAATGATTGCCAACCTGGTGCCCGCCGACCCGTCTGGCGAAATCAGAAATTGCCAGAGACCCCTCCGTACAACAATAACAACAACAACAACAACAACGAGAAGCACTACATGACACGAATAAGGGACGCAACTTGTACATGTTGATCTTTCGATCTAGAACGATGACGGTCATTACGTTCCGTTGGGGTCTATTAAGTTTAGGGCTCATGTGAATGATGGGTTTCTAAAAAGGAAAAAAAAAACAAAGAAACAGAGCTCCTCCTGCGCATAGTGCCATACAACTATGACCAAAGACATTTCCTCCCTTTTTCTTTTTTTTTTGCTTGCTCGCCCGTCCCTCCGATCATTCTAACTCGTTTCCCTGGTTTCCTGTGCTCTTTTTCCATTTCCGTCCGTGCGTTTTTCCTTACCAATTCCAGTCCCAACTCCAAAAAACACCAAAGTCGAAGCAAAAGCAAAATCAAGAATTATCGATGAGGAATTGTCCCCCCGGAGAGAAGCAAAGCAGAGGCAAAGGCAAAGCGGCCATCAAGGAGAAGGTTGCTGAGATGCCGAGCCTGGTATCATGGTTGCACTTTTTTTGTTGTTTTTCCTTGGTTTTCTCTTCACTGTCTTTCGTGTGCCGAACTGCAGATCTACTATTGTCAGGAAAATGTAAGCAAAGACTGAACGTTGACGAGAAGGGCTACGATACTCACCCGTGTGAGTGTGGTGGCTGGACCCGAAGGTCTCATGTTCCCAAAGAGCCCGGGGGGAGCGGTTTCTGATCTATTTGGGAGGAGGCTTCGGGGCGCTGGGCTTGGTGACGCCGGTGGTATCGTACGGTCCGCGAGCCATGACTTCTGGTTGGTCTCGAAGGGAGCAGAGTTGCGTGTGGTCTTCTGGGGTGGCGATGAGCAAGGTCTGGTGGATCGATCAAGCTGTGGATGATGGAGGCGTTTTGTGTGTGGTTGAGAGAGGTTTCTGGTAGGGGGGGATCCTGGACAGTTGGAGTTGGCGTTCGGAGTTGGGCTGGGAGAGCAGCTCGCTTTTGGGTATGGACGCCGAAATGGTTGTGGAGAGGGTTATTAACTTCAGGGTTCGAGGTAGTCTTGTCTTTTTTTTCTTCCTTGTCTTTGGAGAAGAGGAGGAGGACTGGAAGAATAGGATGAAGAGACGAGAGGATGATGGATGGAAAGAGGGAAGGAAAAGAAGTGGAAGATTTGGGAAGACGGCGAGGTTGTGGAAGCTTCTTAAAGCAAAGTTGATCCAAGCCCGGGGGGGGTGGCTGTTCCTTTTGTTTGCTCACCTTTTTATTTTTTAAATCAGTCCTGAGGAAGTCCGAACGGTCGGAAACGTTTGACTGGAATTTTTCATATTCTCCCCTTTTCTTTCATCGAGTACCTCCCATCTTAGGCAGTAACCACCGAGAAAGATATACGAGTATGTCCTTTTTTTTTTTTTCTTTTTTCTTCTTGCCCCTACCTTGTCCCCCCGTTCATTTTCGCCTCCGGGGTCGGTCAGACATCTCGTGCGGCCCATGACTGACCTGATTTACTGCGGTGTGCATGACTGTTCTGCTTCATTAACTACGGCGGTCAAGACAGATGGGAAGAGTCATTACGGTGTACCCCCTTTGAAGTGCCAGAGAGATAGAGAGGGAGAATGCTCGTACAGTATTGACTGATTAACTGTATTTATTCTCAGTTGTGGTATGCACCCCCCCCCCTTTTTTTTTGCTCACCCCCCCTCGTCCCTTCACCTTGACAATGACACTAGTCCGGCAGTACGAGTTGCATATATGTAGTGTTTCTTTTTTTTCCCGTCTTCTTCTATTCTCTTACCCTCTCACGATACTCGTCATTTTTGGGGGGTGAGCTAATACTAGGTAGGTACGAGTAATATCAAGAGGGGATCGACAGGGGTCCTTGTGGTGAAAGGGGATTCTACTAGTATCCTAGTATCAGGGGACTGTGCTGGAAGGTTGTCAAGGAAGGGTCGATGTCTCTATTATGAGTGAATGGTCTTTTGCCGTGGGAATAGACATTTGACGTTGTATATACATGTATATTTATGTATGCAGATATATAAATATATATATATATATATATATATGTGTGTATATATATGTGTGTGTGTATATATGTGTGTGTGTGTGTGTGTATATATATTGTATATATATATATATATATGTGTGTGTGTGTGTATATATATGTATATATGTATATATATATATATATATATATATATATATATGTGCGTGTGTGTGTGTGTGTGTGCATATGTATAACAGCTTGTTGTTGAGGGTCTTGTTGAACTCGTTGCCTTTTTTTTCTTTTGGGTTGTGAATTGAATGTAGTTAAAAAATAAAAATGAAAAATGAAAAAGGGGGGGTAGGTAGGGTAGGTTAGGTTATTATTGTTCAGCAATTCATAATTCTCTACAGACAATGAGAGCTGTCCGAATGATTCAGCACGTAAGAAGATCCGACCAGTCGGTTACACCAGAACAGGCAAGTGACTTGAGTGTGAGATGAATATAAGCATGGACCTGTAAAACTTGTAACTGCAAGCGACATCGAAAGCAAACAGCAACAAGACGAGTCGCTGACCACCTCCAGTCAATAATACTGGTGGGAGTGAAGTGATAATACGTGATACGTGAAAGGCAAGGCGGGTCGGGCCCTGGCGTCGACGGTTACGGTGACCCCTGGAAGGAAGGCGGCATTCTTCCAGAACAAGAGGGTTGCTGTCTGTACCTATTATAATTAGCCGACTTTCTCTCTTTGTTGTTTGCTGGTCGGTGATAGATCACGTCCATCTCCTCTGCTACGGTTGCCGTCGTTTTTTGTGTTTTTTTTATTTCATTTTTTTTATAATCTATTTTATAATTTTCTTAAAAAAGGGGGAGGGGGGGGTGTATAGTAGACAAGGGGGTAATAAAGTGTCAAGGTCGGGAGCCTGAAGCCTAGAAATCAACAGAGAGAGTGGAGACGGAAGGGAGAAAAAGAAAAGTAAGAATACCTAATCATGGATCTGTACATGCTCGCGCAGCAAAAGAGAAGAGGAAGAAGAAGAAGAAGAAAGTCATCGGCAATGCTCCCGGGGGGGGGGAGGATATAGCTCCCGAAAGACTCAGGCTTTCTGCATGAGACATGGACATCGAAGGAGATAGAAGGAGAGAGAGGAGAGAATGGATTCAGAGCGGTGACGCCCGGTCGACGCTTTGGTGTTGTGCTTGTGCGAACACACAAACGCACGAGCACACACATGGGAAGACAGTGTTGCAAGAGGAGAGAGAAGAGGCAATCAACCGTTCCGTACTTTCTTTTTCCTTCTTTTCTTCTTCTTTTCTTTTCTCTTCTCTTTACTCGGATTGCATGCATGATTGCTCGGTGTTGTTGCTTGCGTGGTGTATCGCTACGATCGATTGGATAGTACAGACACCATCATCAGACGTCATCCTATTAATAGTAGTCGTCATCATACTCGTAAGGAGAGACCAGGAATGCTTTCTCTACTTACAATAAGAGGTACAGGTACCGATACATGTAAAGGGGTTGCATGGCAATGATGGCATGGACTGTCCAGGCATCTGCCGTCAGATATTATTATCACGTATAGTCCGTACAGATTATACAGGTACACGAGTAATGCTCTCTCTCTCTCGTCGAGTACGGTTTGTTGATTAGTTACGGTGCGCTCCTCCTCCTCCTCTTCTTCTCCTTCTTCAACTTCTTCTTCAACTTCTTCTTCAGCTTCCAAGGATCCACAAACAAGGATCAAGGACGAGGACGAGGACCATTTATGGGGGTGGACAGCGTTGCGAAGCCAGTCGGAGAAGTCTCATCTCCCTCTTTGAGACCCAGTTCCATGTCAGTGGGACCGAGATGGTTGGATTTTGCAGCGGTGAGCCATGTTTTCTCCCCAACTTTTTTTTTTTTGCTCTTCTCAGTTCTTTTCCTTTTTTTTTTCTTCATGATGTGGTAAGTGCTATGTGTGTGATGCGGAAGAGCAAGAGGATCCATCATTGTAGCTGAATACATGACTCTTATTGTAAGGGGAGGCCTGAGCATTGAAGGTGTTGTCGGATGTATTGTTGCTATATGTAGAAGTAGCAGTGCTCGTAAACATGTACTCCTCAGCTGTACAGCCGTGCATTGTTAGGGAAGGAAAACAAGAAAATTCGGGATAGAGAATAGAATTAAAAGCCCTCAGAGGCAGTGAGAGAGTCGCCGTCTTATTTGTCACGGTCCCTCTCTTCCCCTTTCAGAATACTTGCATTGCTGTTGTCGTCTTGCTTGATACGGAACAGCAGCCTCTTCCGTGCGGATCCCCTTTCCTTTTTCGTGGCGGTTGCAGATGAAGGATATCCGAGATACAGACATACATATCCTCATATAAATCGAAACTCGGGCAGAATGACACGACTTGTATCTTCTCTCTACCGGATGCGTTTGATAACTGGTAGCAGGAGCAAGGTGGATGTGTCTCCTTCGCCCTTTGTATGATACGCATGAGTAAACTCGACGGACTACCTGTCTCTCTCAGCAGCATGCAATACGATACGTGTAATCTGTACAGATTACACATATTCGTGGACCCAGGGTAGCCAACGGCAAACAGCTCATCAATGTGATGCGAGTACACGGATACTAAGCCGTGGCAGTACATACCGACGTATTGTCAGTTATCGGTACAGTGGCACGAGACAGTGTCGAGTTTTCCAACACGCACAAGTACCCCGTATGTTGTATTAATGCCCGGTATCACCCTGGTGACATGTCCTTGCAGTCGAAGTCGTGCATTGGGCCGTAGACGGTGTATGCACCTACTCCCTATGCACCACTCGGTCCATTGACGACGGGTCATGTCATCGGTGAGTCGGTGAGTCTCGAGTTCTATCATGACTTGAGCATGAAACCGTAGGTGTACACCCGAGGTATTGCGTGTAATACGTTCGGTATCATCACTACTCACTCGTGCGTACTGCTGCTTCGTAGCCATTCATCCCATTGCCGGCTGGCCCCATCGAATCAAGGGGCGACTCAAGATATACATAGATGCAATACTCCCTACTCCCTACAGATGACAGATTATTGCTCGTAGACCAATTCCATGCTTTCTCCTTCCTCTCTGCTCGATCCACCGACCGCGGACCACCACGCCCTAGGGGCTCACCTGCCCGCTCTCCCGGAGAGACAGCAAGGATCAGGGTTCCAGGACCACGGTACTGCCCCTTGTTTCCTTTCCTTTCCGTCCTTTCCATCCTTTCCATCCTTTCCATCCCTCCTTTCTTACAAGTAAGTCATGGCACATCGACATACCCGTACAGAGAAGGTACTCACTCGTAGACACGCACTCCCTCTTCTACCGCTGTTATTACACCATAATAACCCAAGTCATATATGTAGATACATACGTGCATACCCAGATCCACTTGCCGGAACTCCCTGCTCGCTGCCCATGGCCAAACGTGTCGATGCCCTACGAGTCGTGATGTTAACTATGCACACGTAATATGTGCAGCCGTCGCCGACACCGCCCGTCGAGTTTCGGAATTTTTATTTTATTTTAATATTTATATTCTTATATGTATACAATTTTATTTTTGAAGATGCGGTGGGACCCGGGGATGTTGACAACCAACTTCAGCCCAAGAGGCCCATCCCATCCCATCCCCCGTCAGGCAACACCGTCGCCGCGGTACCGGGGGGCTGGTAGGGGGACAGCTGATACTCGTACATCTGCCTATCACGGCGTACCCAAGTATGGATCCCTTCCTATCCGTCATCGGTCCGCTATTACCACATCCTCTCCCTTACGCGCCCTGAAGTCGAAGGGCAGGAAGAGGGCCCAGGGGGGAGGGGGGTCCGACGCTCCACATTAAGGGCACGTCGTGACTCTCATCGCTGCACTTCATCACCCAACGGGAGAGGAGAAGCAGAGATGAAAAGAGAAGATGTATAAAAACGTTGATATTGTATCAAGGATAGCACGAGATGCTGAGCTTGCTATGTACAAGCAACGTATAGATTACATGTAGATGGATAGATACCAAGTGTGTCCGAAATTCTCATCATTGTGTGATTACTAACCTAGACAGCCCCGACAGAAGAACACCCATGACTAAACGGCCCCTCATGTGAATGCCTCAATTCTTCAACCCACCACCAGACAACCCAGTCAGTGAGAGGAGGACGCAGACAAGGAAGCAAGGAGAGAGAGCACTCCTCATCACAACAACATGCACTTCCAGCCCATCGAGAGGACAGACGAAGAGGGTCATCAGCCTCCGACCGTAGCCGGCATGGAGCCTGCCATTGCCAATGACAGCCTAGACGACGTATTTGGTGATGCGGGTCCTGATGACGAGAACTCCACCGACAACCTCTCCCACCCGTCGGACATGCGACGGCTCGAGACGGACCACGCCACAGCTGGATACCGCGAGGGCATCGCCGTGGGCAAGCAGGAGACCTTGCAGGAGGGCTTCGACGAGGGATACAGCATGGGTGCAGCCATCGGTCTCCAAGCAGGCCAGATCCTCGGTATACTCGAGGGGATATCGGAGGCTTGCAGCAGCAAGATGCCGCAACGGCAGGGGCCAGAGCTGGACCGGGAAGCATCGCTCGGTGCCGAAAAGCTTCTCGCCGAGGCACGTAACGAGCTGAGCGTCGAGCGCCTCTTCAGCAGCTCTTACTGGAGGGCGACGGGCGAGCCGAGCTACGACGTCGCCGGCAACTTGCTCCGGCACAGGGACGGGGCACTTGCCCACCCGCTCGTCCGAAAATGGACTGCCGTCATGGAGGAGCAGCTCCGGCTGTGGTCGATTGATCGCTCTGTCCTGAGCCAGGAGGACGGCGGCGGCAGCAGCAGGCCCGACGACCCATCCACGACGTCGTCGCAGGACGAGCAGCTCGAACACGGAGCCCAGCCCCCGACACTTGATCCTCTGGACTGGTGAGAGGTCCAGGTAGCAGGCGTCTGGTTCATCCTACCGACGGGATGTCGCTGGGTGCTCGATATATAAAAAAACATAGAGACAAACACACACCGAAACAAACAAGAGACGACCGGGAAGATGCAGCTAAACCGTCCACCTGCCCGCCCGCCCTCTACGAGTTCGAGAACGACAGGATTGCCGTCGCTGTTGTCGTTCATCTCACCAGCTTGTTCGGCCGAGTCAGGTAAGAATCGAGAACAGACATGCATATGCGATGGGTGTTTGGTCCTGGCCAGGCCGAGTCAAGTCACTCTGATCCATCTGCTACTCCTCGCTTGGTCAGGGATTTCGCCGATTCAGATGGAAGTTCGTCTCCGTCCCGTCCAAGCTCGCCGAGCGGGAGAGTGGCAGGCAAACCATATCGGGATGGTTGGACGAGGTCCCTGCGTATCCCTTGGGTAGACACTATTCGGGCCGTAGGCGTGGCGCTGGCGTGGCTTGCTTCCACTGCCCTGCATATTGTCTTCCACAGCAGGATTTGCCTCTCAGACAGCTTCATGAGCCGAGGCGATCGGGATGAATTACCGCCTGTTGTTTCAGCTGGATGCACCGAGAAAAACTATTCCAAGGTACATCGTTCTCCCGCATTTGCTCACACGACGGCAACGATGCAAGCAGCGGGAAAAGATGCAACAATATCAAGACCGACAGCAAACATCAGGAGAGAGAAAAAGAAAAAAAAACCCCGTCCCTTTCTGGGAAGAAAACTCGGTCGATCTCTCTCGATCGAAGCCGGCTGAACAAGAAAGGACAAGGGGAGATTCATGAGTGGGGGTCATGACAAACAATGGAAGAAAAAAAAACAAATATATGTGACATGCATTTGGCTCATTAGACAACGATCACCACAGCCGCCGTTGTGACTCTCTCCCACAAGGCCACGGAAACAAAGGAGCGGACCTTATTACAATGGAGACTGTCATCTCTCTCACTGTCGCTCCTAATTTGGAAACTATAGAGGACTGCCAGAGACCCGCATAGATCTGCATGCACGACAAGGCCTCCCCGCATGTGCGACAGGTCTCTGGTGAATATGCGAGGGGTGAGCGAGGGGACGACGATGGCCTCTGTACAAGCGCGGGAGTTTCGCCCCATCAGAAGCATACATCATACTCGTTAATGAAGCTGTATCGGATTGCCCTCCCTGGTTGTCTCTCGTCGTCTTCGTCCTGCCACGGTTCAAATTAAGCTGTCTTGTGATGGAGGCGCTCATGCAGGAACCGAAGCGCCATCTCGCCAGGAGAGAGAGAGAGAGAGAGAGAGAGAGAGAGAGAGCGAGGGGGGGCTGAGGAGATGGATGACTGCTGTTGGCAAGAAGAATCATGAGTATAAGAATCCCGGGATCGGATGCTTCGTTCCATCCATTCTTCTTTCTCACCAGCAGCAGTCTCTTCTCTCCATAACTCGCCTCGGCAGCATTCCACTCTTTTTTTCTGCACCAACTCTCTGTTCATAGCTCTGCTACCATCCAACTTGAAAGCCACTCGCTCGTTCTTGATACAGATTGATAATATTCCCAAGAAACAAACGAGAAAAGAACCCCTCACACCACCACCAAAAAAAAACGACAAGATGAAGACTTTCACCACCAGCGCCGTCATGGTCTCCATCATGGCCGCTACAGGCGAGGCCATCCTCAATCTCAACGTCAACCTCCCCCTCGGCCTCGACGTCGACCTCGACATCCTGGGCAAGAAGCCGACCAGCGAGCCGTGCGAGGTCTGCAAGGACGTCTGGCACCCCCCTCACGACGTCGTCATCGACGACTGTGACGACACCGGCAGCGGCGACTGGCACTGGGTCCACCCATGCGTCGAACCCCCCTCCGCCACCTACCAGTGGACCACCAGCACCATCACTGCCACGGCCGTGAGCACCATCGTCTCCTGCGCCCCAGACGTCATCGACTGCCCCGGCCGCGGCGGCTACGAGACCGTCACCATCCCCGCTACCACTACCATCTGCCCGGTCTCCGTCGGTCCCACCGCGCCCGCTCCGGCCCCGGCCCCTCCCACTGTGTCTTCTTCTGCCTCCTCCAGCGTCGTCGTCGTCCCCTCCAAGGCTCCCGTCCCTCCTGCTGTGCCCGCCGCCCCCGCCGCCCCCAAGGAGACCATCCCCAGCACGAAGGTCGTCACCCTGTCTAAGCCCTCTGCCCCCGCTGTCCCCGAGCACCACTCGACTGCTCCGGCCCCCGCCCCCCCGAAGGAGACCGAGGTTGTTCCCTCTGCTGCCCCCGCTCCCCCCGCTGATGACACTCCCGTACCTGCGGTCCCCGAGAACACCGACGTCCCCGTGGCCCCCGAGGCCCCTGTCTCGCCCGAGGTGCCCGTGGCCCCGGAGGCTCCCGTGTCTCCCGAGGCTCCCGTCGTGCCGTCGCCCGCTCCCGTTGTCGACGTCCCTGTTTCCCCCGTCGCCCCGTCGTCGGCCCTCGTCGTCGACACCCCGGCCCTCCCTGTCTACACCCCTTCCGTCCCCGGCGCCCCCGCTATCCCCGGCGTCCCCGCTAACCCCGGCATCCCCTCGGTCCACACCCCCTACGTGGCCCCCGGAACCTGGGCCACTGTTGCCACGCCCTACAACACCCCGGCCACTCCCGTGGTCCCCGGTGTGCCCGCCGTCCCGACCGGCAACAGCCCCGTCACCCCGGCCCCCGTCCCCGCCCCGACGTACGGCAACAACGCCACCAACCCCATCAGCACCCCTCCTATCGTGTCCACCACTCCTCCCCCTACTGCCGGCGCTGCCCAGGCGGTCCAGAATCTCGGTCTAGCCGTGGTTGCCGGTGTGGTTGCCGTCGCTCTCTTCTAGAGGGTTTGCCCATGACCTCCCTCGGAACACTAGAACAAAGCGGTTTTCATGAATCGGGACACCTCATGTGTCGTTAATGCTGTTGTTATTGTCATGGCCGGGAACTTCTGGATACGAGGACAACGTCTTTCTCTTTTTTTTTTTCGCTTGGAATTTCCAATATATACGAGGCAGATGACCCGCTCTTGAGGTTTTGTGTTCCTCTCTCTCCTTCTTCTTCTTCATTTCTTGGATATTTATTGCATCATTATTTCATGACAGTCTGTACAGATAAATGGAGGACTGTATAGGTGACCTATGCAGTAATAAATTGTTTGTCTATATGTTTCTCTGGACTCGTCCGTCCTTGTTCTCCAATGGTGTGATGTTCAACATGAATCGGCAATGTCCGATGCTCCTGTATGTACTCCATAGACATTTTCGCGTATTACAATCGTATTGCTCGATATCGGCGTCAAGCCCCCACCCATTGTAAGTATTGAATAACCCGTGCGCCATGTCATTAATTCATAATTGTCCTGTATATGCATGCAGAGCGGACAGCTCTGTTTTTGTTGATTTCTCTTTTTTTCTTTCTTCCTTTCTTCCTTTTTATCTTGAAAAAAAAGGTGTCATCATCCCAGTTTAATCAAGCCTCCCCTCAGTCCTCCTCCTGGTCCTCCTCTTCCTGGGCAGCATAATCATGCAGCTGCTTCGTTACCGTGTCAGCGTGATCCGCGGTCCACCCGGCTGCGAGATGGGTGGCAGCATCCCAGTCGCGGTCCTGTGCGTCGTAGACGGCGAGCTTGACGACGTTGCCGTCGTTGTCCATGAGCAGACGACCGCTCCTCCCGTCGGCAAACGTGAGGCGGACGTGCCTGGCCTCGACGTCGGCGATGCCCACGTCGACCACCTCGTTGGGGCGGCCTGGCCTCTCGCGTCGCAGGCCGAGCAGGTCCCTCCGCAGATCGGCCGTGACGCCCATGCGGTTATGATAGCGGGCAATCTCTCGTCGTAGGGCCCTGACTAGGGCGTCCAGGTCCTGAGGTCGCGCGCGATGACCGTCTCGGTGGTCGTGATCGTCATGGCTGTTGTTCTTGTTGTTGTTGTCGTCGTCGTCGTCGTTGGCACCGGAGCTCCTCCTGCTGCTGCTGTTCCTGGGACCCGGGCCGGGCAGGTGGCGCGCCGCCAGGCCGGCGAGGGGTATGGCCGGCGGGAAGGTATGTCGGTGGACGCGGAGTCGAGCGGACCCGACGTGCAGGTAGGCGCGGTTGAGCATCAGGTAGTACGGCTTCAGAAACTGGCCGCGCGACATGGCCTCGAAGCGCAGGGCCAGAACGTGCCCGCCGTCGAGGGCGCTGGGGTCGGGGTCGACGACCTTGAAAGCCGTGACGGGGGAGCAGATCCGGTAGAAGCATTGCTGGAGGTGGGCGCGCTGACGCTGCGCTGGGCCTTTCCCGTCGGCCGCCGCGGGGGGTCTGGAGGAGAGCGGTCGTCTTGGCTGCTGGCGTTGGCGTCGCGACTCGGCCGACCTGATCAGCTGTTGGCCCGCTTCTGATGAGGCGATTGTCGATGCTTCGACTTGGAGCTGGCGTTTTGCAAAGGCGACTTTGAAGCGGGATGTTAATGGTGGTGGTTGGAGGAGGGTGGGAAAGAGAAGGGGGGGGGGGGGGGGGGGGGGGTAAAGATTTGTCTAGGGTAATCTCTGATGTCACCGTCTGTACTCGCACGGAGGAGTACATGGTTGTGTGCAAGTGGTACTTGTAGGGAGGGAGGGGGGGGGGGGCCTTGGACCCGTCCGCTAGGTTACTAAAAAAAATAAGAGAGAAAGCGATGGAGATGGGATGCCTGGACGGGCAAACAGGAGTCATATGTTACAGATCAAACATTGAATTTTAAATATGATGTTCACTCGGAGCGGTTTACTGTGGATAAGATACGAGGACCTTCTTTATCTGGAGAGAAGAAAAGAAGAAGGGGGAAAAAAAGAGAAGAAAGCCAATACAGCAATAATAATGATGATGATAATTCCTGTATTATATTAGTACGAGTGGTGATGATCCATCATAGTGGCCACGGTTGCTTCCGCCACCTCCAAAAGTGCCAAGGCTCCCTCTTCTATTGCCCGCCCTGCACGCCCGAAGCTCCGACGACGTTGAAAAGCCAGGTTGTCGCTCTGTCCAAGACGGCCTTCCCACCTTGAAAGATAGTCCCCGTTCTTCGACCCTGCAGAAGCTGGAGACGACAAGGCACTTGGTCCAAGGGACCCTCATCTGCACTCTGTTCCGGTTGCCCACATTTTCCTTCTTTCTTATTCTTTCGAAATCAACCATCACTCCTTCTCCCCACCCCCTGTTATCATTATATATATGTATACATATTGTATTATATATATACATACATATATCGCAGCTCTTCTTCTCTGTGCTCATTGCTAGTCGACGACCCTCGGAAGCCCTTTTCTGTGCTTTACAAGCGCCCGACACTCCCTTCTTCCATCACGACCGACCGACCGACCGACCGACGCGATACGCCTCTCCCTTCTTCTTGTTCGCCGTTGCTCTCTACATCTCCATCTCTCTCTCTCTGAGCATAGCATATTCAATCTTTCCCAAGTTCCTGCAGCAAGATAGTCGTCAAGCTCTTGCTCCACTCTCGCCCTCTGCCCACGCGCGGCACACGCCCGCCCGCCAACATACACACGCACGCAGGCACTTCAAGGCCCATAGCACTCCTTCTCATGGGTGCCAGAAGTAGACGTAGACAGTCGCCCAAGTCTACTACCCGAGCGCCCCCCAAGGCAGCCGACGGAAACATGAGCAGCGGCCTCGAGATGCGCCGCAAGGGCGGCAGCCATCCGGACGCCAGCAACGTCACCAGCAACTACATGTCGCGCGAGTCCTTCACGCTCGACGACGAGCCGCCCAAGAAGGGCGGCGGCGGCGGCGACGCGGGAGCGAGCGACGTCGGCTTCTTCGACCTCCCGCGCCAGGACAAGCGCAGCTTCCTGCTGCTCGTGATGCTATACTTCCTCCAGGGCATCCCGATGGGTCTGGCCATGGGGTCGGTGCCGTTCCTGCTCAAGAACCACCTGTCGTACGGCGAGATCGGCACCTTCAGCCTCGCGTCGTACCCTTACTCGCTCAAGCTTCTCTGGAGCCCGTTCGTCGACGCCGTGTGGAGCCCCAGGATGGGCAGGCGCAAGACGTGGATCGTGCCCATCCAGTTCATGTCCGGCTTCGGCATGCTCTTCCTCGGCTCGCGCGTCGAGCAGCTGATGGCCACGACGGGCAAGCCGGGCGGGATGACGGTCTGGAACTTTATGCTCTGGTGGTTCTTCCTCGTCCTCATGTGCGCCACGCAGGACATCGCCGTCGACGGGTGGGCCCTGACGCTGCTCACGCCCGGAAACGTGTCGTACGCCTCGACGGCCCAGACGGTCGGCCTGACGGCCGGCCACTTCATGTCGTACACCGTCTTCCTGGCCCTCAGCACCCCCGACTTCGCCAACAAGTGGTTCCGCGCCGTGCCGCGCGACGACGGCCTCGTCTCCCTGGGCGGCTACCTCACCTTCTGGGGCTGGGCCTACATCGCCGTCACCGTCGGCCTCGGCTTCCTCAAGCGCGAGGACAAGTCGCGCAACGAGGACGGCGTCTGGGACGTCTACCGCACCATGTGGGGCGTGCTCAAGCTGTCCAACGTCCAGGCCATCATCCTCGTCCACCTCGTCGCCAAGATCGGCTTCCAGGCCAACGACGGCGTCACCAACCTCAAGCTGCTCGACAAGGGCCTCGGCAAGGACAACATGGCCCTCACCGTCCTCATCGACTTCCCCTTCGAGATCGCCGTCGGCTACTACGCCGGCATGTGGTCGCAAAAGTACAGCCCCATGCGCCTCTGGTCCTGGGGCTTCGTCGCCCGCCTCGTCGCCGCCATCGTCGCCCAGCTCACCGTCGCCATGTTCCCCGCCACTGGCGTCACGCCGGGATACCTCGTCGTCGTCATCCTGTCCCACGTCTTCTCCACCTTTACCAACACCGTCATGTTTGTCGCCATCTCTGCCTTCCACGCCAGAGTGTCGGATCCCGCCATCGGGGGGACATATATGACTCTGCTCGCAACGTATGCTTCGACTCTTATTACCTCTCCCGCCCCATCCCACGTGTTCTTAACCACCTCGACCATTGTTGATGCTGATACGTGTGTGCTGACCTGACTTGGAACCTAGCGTCTCCAACCTCGGCGGGACATTCCCCCGCTTCTTCGTCCTCAAGATGGTCGACTCCTTCACGGCAGCAACATGTCGCCCCGGCGGCGGAGACGCAACCAGTCTCCTAGATGGTAAGCCCCTCATCACCGAGCCCTTCTCGTGCTCCTTGCAAGGCGAGAAGGAGAGGTGCGAGCAGGGCGGCGGTTTCTGCCAAACCGACCGCGACGGGTACTACACTGTCAACGTGCTGTGCGTGCTGTTTGGCGCTGCGACGTTCATATGGTACATCAGGCCCAAGGTCATGCACCTGCAGGGTTTGCCGCTCAGAGCGTGGAGACTATCCGGCCCGTCCAAGTGAGGGGCCTCGGAGGGTTCAAAAAGACAGAAGAAAAAAAAGAAAAAAAGAAAAAAAGCTACTGGCTTTCCCCCCCTCGTCCCCCCCCCCCCTTTCTTTCGGGTCATTATTTCTAGGAGTGAGGCTTTCTTCAATTCCTTGTGTAATATGAACAGAGTGGTAGCATCAAGTCTAGACGAATGTGTATATTATGAATGGAGTAAACTCGAGTTGTCACACCTTGAATCCTTATTCTTTCCTCGAATTGCGAATTACGGTACTGTGCTATTCTCGATTCTCGAGTATGTCACTTCTTTCCCTTTTCCTAATTGTACACCAAGATATTTTGATACATGACATTATGGCATTCCCCCCCCCTTTTCCCCCGGGCCCTGCGCCGCCGATGGTAGGGGGAAGGGGGGAGAGAGGCTCGTCGTTTGGTTTTGAGGACCAGATGGTATGGAAGATGGAGTACGAGACCGGGGCTCACGTCTCTCCTCAGCCCTCTTCATCATCCACCTCCTCCATGGTGACGGTACGCGACCCCTGGCCCGCCGTCGGCTCGCCGCGTCCCCCGGCCTTGAGATATCCCTCTCTTTCCAGCCTGTCGGCCTCCTCGGGCTCCATGAGCCCGCCCTTACCCTGACCCTTCATCATCTTCTGCTGCACGACGGAGGGTACGAAGGCGGCCACGGCCTCCTTCTGCAGATCTCTCCGCACCGGCTCAGCAGAGTACACCGTCTTTGTCTCCGCGGCGGCCGTGGTCGGCTCCTTGTCCTTCTTCTCTCCCTCGCCATCACCGCCACCACCATCTGGCTTGTTGGCCGCCGCCGCCGCCGCCGCCGCCGCCTCTCTCCTAGCCCTCCTCTTGGCGTACCACTGATCCATGACCTCCTTCGGTATGGGTGGCGGCGTGTCGCGCGGCATGGGGATGGCGCGCACCTCCTCGGGGATATCTCGGTCGTCGTCGTCGTCGCTGGAGAAGGCATGCTGCCCGTCTCTGCGCCTCTTGCCCAGCACGCGCCCGCCGTCACGACGGGGACCGTGCGAGGAGGAAGGGGAGGAAGGGCCGGGGGCCTTGTCACCCAGTGCCTCGCGGGCCTTCTTGACGGCCTTGAGCTCCTTCTCCAACCCGTCGAGGATCTGCTCCTCGTTCTTGCTGAGGGCGCCGCCGTTGGTGCTGATGGCCTTCAGGTCGTCAATCTGCTTCTGCAGACGGTCGGGGTTCTTGCGTGCTAGCCTCTCGTCGCGGCGGCCTCGGGCTTCGGCTCTGCCTGGATTGCACGGACGTCAGTTCTTTTGCTCGTTCACCGAAATCTTCCCTGGGTTGTCGACGGGAGGACGCACCCTTTTTTAACGCCTTGGCCTTGTCGGCCTTGCGCTGGGCTTGGACAGGGTTGAAATTTTTCTCCTTGGCCATCGTGTCGTCTCTGATGTTTTTTTTCTTTTTCCTCTCTAATAGTCAGATGCGGCCGGTTAGGGATAGCCGGTCGTTCGCGTCTTCACGGTGGTGTTTTGATGCCATCATGGTTCCACATCATGGTTCAGGCGGGAAAAGCTATGTCATAATTCCCGATTCCGTGTCGATGACTAATATCCTACCCGGCACTTCGAGATCGCCTTGTATACCCCGTACATCGATGCTACGATACGTGCTCATCAACCAATCGCGATTGACGTATAAGAGATATATCAATACCTCTCTTAATGCTACGGTATGATAGGAACTGTTCCAAGTACAAGTGCCCCATCATTTCTCGTCTTGCACATTGCCTATCTTGCAAAGTCCCCCTAAACTACGGCCAATCATATGAGACCTGGGGGGGAGGGGAGGAAGGAAAGCGAACAGACATCAGATAAACCCTCCTCCTATCTCTTTACGAGATACTGCCACAAGGGAGCAGAGAAAAAGAGAGATCAAAATATCGCCTGGTAATCTCAATCGGTAAACTTCTGCCCCGCGCACATCTCCTTATCACCTGCTAAACAGCGCGACAACTTCCTCTTTCGTCCAAGACAAGTAAACCAGGACCCCCAGAGTTTTCGTCTACTCCATTCTGTACACTGGCAGATAGATGTACGGACAGCTACGAGTGCCTAGTAATATTAGTGCCAGTCACTAGCGGATATTGCGTATCACTACTAGGTAAATGGTGTGAGCGGAAGCTGTTCTTGCGTACTGTCCCAAGATAAAAGAGTGTTCTACCTGATACGTTGCACCATAAGTCGATAGATTTCCGTCATTCGATGCTTGGCGATGAAATAGAAGGTTAGAGAATCAAATAAACTAAGATGCAGCCCTTCCCTCTTCTCATCTGTTCCTCCTTCCTTGATGGCCCTTTTTTTCCCTTCCGGCCGGCGGCCATATTAGACAGTATAATCTGCTCCCCCATCCCCCCCCCCTTGTTGCCTTGATCTACTTACTCTACATCATGACGTGCTTTCTCTCTCTCTAACTTCATGCGGTAAAGGAAAAGGAAAAAAAAAAGAAAAAAAAAAGTTCACCGACCTTATCAACGCAATCCCCGTCCTGTCCTTTGCCGGCAAGCTATCTTGATGAAATGCCCACATCTCACCTCGCCCCCACGGACCAAAGGGGTAAGAAGGAAAAAAAAAGGAAACATGGTTTCTGCCAAACTCTCCCTTGTTTCTTATCAGGAGGGTCTGTATGCAATGCAAGTGACGTTATTGGAGACTGGCACAGGGATGATATGCAAAGGGGGAGAGAAGAGTTTTCATCTTTCCATTCATCTCTCTCACTTCCGGGAAGAGGAGCGGGGAGGGGGAGACACACCGCAATGCGTTTCTCTCGGATGGGTATTTAGACCTCTGTGGCTGCCGTCTGCTCTTCCCCTTCTTCTTTGCATGGTTATGTGGACTTGACTTGACGCCGGAAACCCTCCCTTATACAGGTACTTGGATGGACTGCTCAGACCTATCGTGTCTTGACCCTCCCTTTTAGGCTGACGGCACGCTGGGTCGACAACCTGGATAAGAGAGGCACGTCATCATACTACGAGTTCGAACCATTTAGCGATACGCTTCCAGTACTTGACCCGATAATGAATACGATATCCGACACGACGAGTCCCCTGTCCTGGACATACGAAAGCTTGAGTATGCCGTATATCAGACGAGGAAGCTGTTATATCGATCCAAATCTTCCGTCGACCGAGCTCCGAGCTCCTACCACTTACACCGAGTCGAGTCGAGGATATCACGGGTTTATAGTTCGGGAAGAGGAGGTGCATGCCCCCCCTCCGGATGGGGTATATGCCGGCAGTTCCTGTGGATATACTATGCCGCTGAGATAAACCGAGTCGACCGAATACCGAACTGTTCCGCGGAGAACGAACAGCACATCTCCTGAGCGAACCGCGACAACGACCGACATACAGAGACGTCGAAGAGCACGTGGAAGGAAACCAGGTCCCCGGGCTGTCTCATCCGGAGGCTAACTTCCTCCGTTGCCACTTTACCTGTCTCACCCCAGCCCCTCTGTGCACCTTCGTACCTTGGGCTGACGCAGACTGGCAGAAGCTGCCGCTCTGCAGGAGTTGTGAACCGTGCCATCCAGGCAGAGGATCCTCCATGCCTGGATGCTACTAAAAGAACGGTCATACTGACTTTCCCTTGAACGGTAAGACGATCATGTGATGCTCTCTTGGCACGAAGACGCGAAAAGTCGTGATCTCCGTTCTCTCCCTTCACAATCCCTCCTGGCACTTCTCTGCCCTCAGCTGTACAATGTTTGGAGCTCCTCTTCTCTTTTGCACGTCCGCCGTGGGCAATATGTTTCTCGGGTCCCAGCCCGCTGGCCATAGACCGAGGCTCTGTCTCTTGAGGAACAGTGGTTTTAGCAGGAGGGTGTCGGGGACTGTGCGTCGAGAGCAGCAATCGGTTGGGCGACTCGGAAATTGCCGCCAGTCGTGGCATCGACCGCCGTACCTCAGTCGCGCCCTTGATCCTTTCAACATTTCCCTCTCCAACTACGAAGGGAAAGTCTGAGACGGGTTTCCATGAGCCAGCTGCTACTATGTCTCGCTGCTGTCCTTCTGTAGGCTTGAGACGAACGCTCGACAATCAAGGTGCACGGGGAGGATTCAATGTCTTGAACCGGGCCGTCGGCGTCGAGACCAACGGGCCCTTTTGGCAAACAACCAGGCCTCTACCGGAAAACTAGTCGAGGATGGAACGGCATGTCGTCATCGCTGCGGACGTTCCCTGGATTGCCCCATTGCCCGATCTCGGCATATTGGGGGTCCGACATGAGGGTATTCAGAGCCCTGTACACATGATATCAAGCTGTCAGCAGAGTTGAAGGCGCGAGGTAGGAAAGAGAGGGGAGAGCTGTCAGCTTGGAATACGCGATGCCCCGGATACTGTCGAAAACATGGGCTTCTTCCGCGACGACAGACCCAAGGCACTCACGCCACCGACGAGGAAAGCGGATCGGGTTGAGGATGGTCGCCTTGGCTTCGGCTAACTGCAGGGTCAGCTTCAAATCCGAGGGAAGGAATACGTCGATGGCATCTCGAGAGCCTCGCCGTGCAGTAAATCAGGTCACGGGACGTCGTAGCGGATGACGAATGATCTCCAGGGTGGTCTTTCCTGGGATGGCCCTCCCCTTACTTCTATGGTGCGAAGGTGGTGGGTGACGCGAAAACCGGAAGGAGCGATGTTTACTACTGCCAGAGCATCACGACCATTCTAATATCACACGCAAACACTGTTGAAATCCATTCTGGCATTGTGCCTATCATCCTGTCTGTAGTGCTCCATCGCTGACACAATTCGACAATGACGACCAACCTCATTAGTCCGTCCTCTCGAGCTGAAAGCCACATGCCGAGTTGATTGTCGAGTACTGACGCCACCATCGAAATAGCTCACATGTATCTTTTTTCTTTTTCTTTCGGCAACACGTGATTGGTTCTCTCCGTTCTTCGATGTAGTACGAGTACTTGTAAAAATGATGCTCATGACGCAAATGGCTCGTGGTGTCTTGGAATATATGACAAGGAACAGGTCGTATTCGATGTATATGGGACTCGGATTTGGACATGGGAATCACAGGCTGTGAGATGTGTAACATCTCAATATTGTGGAGTCTAGCATACAGATACAGGGAGGTGTCAAGGTATCATCTGCTGTGACAGCAAGGCCTTCCTCCTGTCGGTCGAAGTCGAAGTACTCGTCGTGAGAGGAGAGCATATTGAAAGTTCAGAGTCACATCATGAGAGGCAGGGTAATTTCCATGCTGCCGTATTAATATTGTCAATGCTTCATACACTACTAGTAATAGCGGCTCTATGACGGTGGCATTCACATGCTAGGCTGCAACACACGACGTTGCTGTGGGGCGCTGGATTATTTTTGACACGCTCTCTCTGCCTGCTACTCTTAGCATCGACCGAACGGCCACCACTACGAGGGAGAGGGAGGGGGGAGGGGGGGGGCAAGGGGGATACGGATAGCATTGACAAAAAAAGTCACTTGTCGGAATGCTTGTTCCTGTTCTTTCTCTTCCTCCCTCTCTCTCTCTCTCTCTCTCTCTCTGATTCGCAACCACGACTTCGAGGTACATCATCAGGCACATTGCCCGTCCGCGCTTGGACCCGAACCTGACAAAGTCTTGGCCTCATCATCGGTACGGATACGTACATGGCCGCCCACCGTACCGTTGTCGAACGCCAAGAACAGAGCTCTTTAGATCCGTCTCTGTCAGCCCCCCCCTCCTCCTCACCCTTGTCTAGCGCCGTCCCGCTTCGACTGGGATCCCGGGAACGTGATGGAGCCTGAAAGGAAGGGTGGTGGCCTGGTCACCCACCTCGGACAGGGCAATGAGGGGTGTCCTATTGGCTTCGGACAGGATTCTTGGCTCCATGCCTGCGCCCGTTGGAAAGGCCCTAAAGTAGCGACAAGAAATTATACCCACGCATTTCTGGCATTCTACTCCGTGGACCGTGGGCCGTACGGTATTATTCCGTATACAAGTACGGATACTCTACGTACATGTAGTATTGCTGCTCCTTCAAATGTTAGTATTAACTCCGTACAGCGAAGAGTAGGAATAGTATTGACGTGTTGTACTCCGCCGTTGCTTTACGAGTATATCTTGTTATTTGCATCACCATGGCCCCTCCCCC